CATGATAAACTCTCAATTTTTGCCTTTTGAGTTTAGTGGTTACCGGTAAATATCATTAAAAAAATGTCCAATTTTAAAAAAAAAATTGGAGACCTGAAGAAGTTTTGGTGCCAATTGAAATTAAAAATTTGAATTAAACTCAGAAAATTTCATAGCAATGGGTAAAGTCATTCCTGATGCAAAAAGTATAAGAAGTAATAGTGAAGGGTCAAGTGACAGAATCAAAAATCAAAAGAAAACTTCCCAGGACATTTCATCAGTAAGCAATTTATTTTTAGTTTTTTACAGTATACTATTATATTGATTGAAATTAGACTTGTATTAACATGATAAATATCCCTAAGGATGAAGTACTATGAAAACAGTTGATACAAAATGTTCATCAAGAAAAGTGCATGGTCACCCAAAAAGCAGATGTTTATATGTTGACCACTTTTGTTCTGGTTGCATTGTCCATACTGTTCTGTTCTCAGAAAGCAGACACTTATATGCTCTGACCACTTCTGTTCTGGCTTCATTGTTCATTGTCCATATGTTCTGGCTTCATTGTCCATATACAATCTTTTTACTGAGCTAGATCACCATATTTTTGACTCACCAGTTGGTGAAAATCATGTTATATTTCAGTTGACCAAGAGCATCATCAAGAGTTACTGTGAGGTTAAATTTTACCATCTTGCAAAAAAGACCACTGAGAATTCATCTGGACAAAAAATTAGAAAGAAATTAAATAAACTTGTACCTTTTAAGCACCAGTGTGAGTGATTTATACACAGAATGTATCAGAGAAAGCTAAATATTACTAAAATTTACTATGAAACTGCCCAAGCTGAAAGTGCAGACTCTGCCTCAAACATAATTTTACTAAAGATTTATAGTGAAAACTGCCCAAGCTGAAAGTGCAAACTCTGTCTCAAACGTTTCACTAAAGATTTAGAGTGAAAACTACCCAAGCTGAAAGTGCAGACTCAGACTGTCTCAAACATTTCACTAAAGATTTACAGTTAAAACTTTACAGTATAAACTGCCTACGCCGATAGTCGAAACGTTACTTACCAACTTCCATTTCCATAAAGTGGTGCCAGAAACCGTAAGTACATGTATTGATTAGACGATACTTCACCAGAGAATCACTCGCAGATTCAAAACAAGTATATAAAGCCAATGTCGTAATTCGAAATTGTTAGCTTTAAAATGCGATTCAAAGACAACAACATCGCCAATTAATGTTTTTTTCTTGTACCCTTTTCCAAAAAAGCTGCGATTTCAAGGCGAACGTACCTCAAAAAGGTATTTTTAATCCAGAAATGCAAAAAAGCCTCGAAAAGTATAGTATTTTCTATAGCATTTCATTGATGAGTGGGAACGACCAATATGGCCGCCGCCTATTTTCATGGGGGAAACCGCTGAGATTTTTGGCTTCAGTTTTGTATTCCGAGATGCGCTATCTAGTGTATATGAGATATCTATGAATAAGGTGAATTTTCTATTAGTCTGAATTTATATGTACAATGCATATCACAAAAACAAATAAACAAAACCAATCGCCTCGCGCCGTTCTAAGAAAGACCCTGGGACCGAGGTTGAAACAAAATTCACTTGAGAGGTCACTATAATTGGCCAACCGAGGCCTGAGCTGGCGTCTTCGTTTCTGTAAATTGTTCTGTTTTCAGTCTGTAGCGGTTACCAAATTATGTGCAAATATGGTGACAAAATTAAGTTTTCATTTGCAGCGAGTTAACGCTCCATAGAGCGTCTTGTTTGCCCTCCAGATGCATCGTCACCGGCGCTGTGACGTCATGTACAATGGGTCTCATAAAACCAGAGATAAGGCGCAGCAAAAAGTCAATCGTGACGGTCCTAGATTAATTGGAAATGAAACTTTCCTCGAAAAAAGGAATTCAGAAAACATGAAAGGATTAATTCAAAGCACTTGCAAGGAATTTTTACTAGGATATTAAGGAAACGTATTGATCCTAACAAACTAACAAGTGGCAGATACAACGTGCCAAACTTGGCACGGGCACCGCCATATTAATGAGGAGTGTTTTATGAGGTATAAAGTCACTGCACCTTATGCATTATCAGTGATTTAACGGGCTAAAAAGCGTATGAATTATTAATGAGTGTTTGAATTAATAACTTAAATAGTATACTATAGTTTGCTAATTCAATTTACTTTTATTATTGCTTAGATTGCAAGTCTGTTGTTTTTATTGATTAATTTTAGATGCAATTGTTTTCTGTTCTCCTGATTTTTGCTGTTATTGACAAGGTGTACGGAGGTATGTTCAATATAGACATAATTGAACAGGAACGATCTGTGCCAGTGTAGGTAGTGCCAATAATAAAAAAGCAGCGGATTGGTAGGGATACAACTACATACAACTAGGGATACAAGACATTTTAATAGTAGCAATCACAGTTTTTCAGATATGAAAATTCAAGACCTCTGTCCCATTTATGCATAACGGAAACAATGATAGCCGCAAAATACATAGCCTGCGTGCATGGCAGGCCCATTGAATATGGGCCTGCAACAATCTCATAGCCTGTGTACAGCCGTTACTCAGGCTCGACGAAGCGCGCGAGAGAACATCTGTGCATGAGTTGGATGCATAATCCTTGTTCGGGTCACGTGGATATTTCCCACATTTGGGGACGGCCTCTGAATGGACAGTGCTTGATTTGAATAATTTATGACAAATGAAGCTATTTCATTGGTTAATTGATAATTAGCATGCGTTTAAAATAACAACACAAAAATTTTAAATTCAGACATTTCTTCAAGAATCAAGATTTCCTTCGGGGCATACAAAAGTTTGAAAGACCTGAAATACAATCTGAAAAACGAAACACCAGAAATATATTGCATATATTTCTCGATGAAGAGATTTGTTTTGAATGCGAACAATGTTGAACGATGATCATTGCCAGCAAATCCGGTGTACAAGCTCAGTTCTTGGCGAACATATGGCGTATATTTGTTTACAAAGACAAAGTATTAATTAAATATAAACACAACTGGTTATTCAAAAGGTGCATTTTAAAGAATGTATACAGCCCGCTTGAGCCTGATCTTTTTAAAGTCAATTTTATCTGGATCAGGTAATTTTTTGTTTGCATTTAGAAGTTCTATATTCTGTTTGTTTCACTTTATAGTGACAAATTAGTTTTACATGTTAGGTTGTGAATTTATTTTCTCACAGAATAGCTGCCTGACGCACATACTTACATCCAAGCACTAACGTTAAATAAGCCGATTGTAATACTCGGAGATTTAAACTGTGATGTGTTAAAATAGAATTGTCCAGAATCCAAAGCATTGATCAACTTTGCTAAAGAAATGAACCTCAGCCAACTTATAAAGCCTCCTACACGAATAAAGGTGTAGGTTTCCGTGCAGGATTGCGTGATCCATGCACTTGGGATGTTGCTCAACTTTCGGTAAGCGTAAAAATACACGAGCCGTAGATCCTGCACGGGAAAACCATTTGGTAATTGTTTTATAAAATTACTACAGTGAAACGACGCTTAACTTGATTAAAATTACTGATGAAATGTGCAGTTCTCACAACATTCGTGAATTAACCACGTTATTGAAAACAACAACATATGTGAACAGAATTTGATCGCAAATTCGCAAGAATATACAGAGAAAATACAGGGACTTTTTCGATAAAATATACGAAATTTGAAATGGAAAACCCGCTAAACAGAGAGGCAAAGTAGTTTTGAAGATTCTCGACCTGAATATGTGAAGATTGCGAAGCGTTTGATCAACTTTGAAGCGAGAGATGTTGTACTTGCATGCCATGGTCTGATGAATTTCAACGCTTACGCGTTGCTATACTTGCTGAATAGCAATGTATCAATCAGAAATTTATTCATACAACTAAACCAACGTCTCAATAATTGGAAACTTACTTCAAAGTCGAAAGGTATCGAACAATGAAACTTTACAATGCGAGTATATTTGTAAAATTATGTCCAAGAATTTCTGTTCAGAATTTCCCGTGCAGGATTGTCTGAACCTGCACGGCTGTTGACCAATCAAATTGCGTGTTTCACTGTAGTTATTATATAATCACCAATACCACTCAATCCTTATTAGACGTTGTATAGGTCTTCTCGAACTCGCTAGAACATCGTAGCGGTGTTTTAAATACAACAATAAGTGACCACCTTCCAGACTATGTCGATTTCAAGCTGAAATCTCGCATACACCTCCTCATTACATAACCGTTCGTAGTTACAAGAACTATTCGCCTAGTTTATTCATAACTGACCTCGCCAGAAGTTCACAAGACAGCTTATTATCTATTTTCAACGACGGTGACGTAAATAATATGTTAGACACATTCAACCAAACCATCCAATCTACTCTAGACTCGCATGCTCCAATAAAGACAGTCAAAGTACGTATAGCCGTCCATGTCCGTGTGTAACTCAGGACAAAAGGACCTCATGAAGACCAGAGACCAGCTACACCTCCGATACTTACAAACTCGGGACGGCCTTGATTGGAATAATTTTAAGGATGCTCGAAAAGCTGTTAAGAGAATGTTAAAAGATTCTGAAAGAAATTACTAGTTGGATGAAGTTCAGCGACATAAAAACAACACAGGCTCTCTTTGGAAAATTATCAATCAAGCCATACCATCAAAAAATAAAGAAAAACATACTTACACCAAAGACCCAAAGACAGTCGCTGATGAATTTAATCAGTTTTTCTTGTGTGTAGGCAAAAATGCAGCAGATTCGTCAATTAGGCTGGCAGAAGAGAACAACATTACTGTAGAGGAAACACCTTTAGAGACCGTTTATATGCCTTCCCCAGATCTCTTTTCCTTCCGAACAGTAACCAGCGAAGAAGTACGCCGTGTCATTGCATCCCTGCCATTGAACAAACCCCCTGGACCAGACAAGATAAACTCTCGAATCCTCAAAGACTGTCTCCCTGTTATACTAGGACCCCTAACACATATAATTAACTGCTCTATAACCTCTCATACATTCCCTACTGCATGGAAGGAAGCGGAAGTGATTCCCATAGTGAAAGACGGAGACCACGAAGTAGCGTCAAACAACGGCCGGATATCTCTTCTTGCCATAGCTTCTAAGGTTTGTGAAAAATTGTTCTCGAACAATTCAGTAGCTACCTTATAAGCAAAAACCTGCTCTCTCCTCATCAAAGCTGAAACAAAATACTCCATTCCACAGAGACCCTGAACATTTTTAGTACCGACACGATGCTAGAGGCTATGGACAGAAAGGAACTCACTGCTCTAGTATTATTAGATCTCTAGAAAGCCTTCGACAGTATTAACCATCACAGATTGTTACACAAACTAGCGAATGTCGGCGCTTCCCCAGCAACAGTACAGTGGTTTAAAAGCTACTTGTCAGATCGCTTTCAGTCCATCCGCATCAATTTGACAAGGTGTGAAATAACGATGGGCCAAATTTTACAAAAAAAGCTTTTTTACACAAACCGATTTCTTTTTTCATACAATTAACTGAAAAAAATTATTGTTTCATTATTGTTCAGAATTGCAAGAATTACAGAATTGTTCTTATTGGTGCCCGGTTCTTACAGAGACAGCCTCTTAATTAGTTACTTTTGTTCCATTCCATGCTTGGACATAGGCTTACGAGACAGGGGGCAGGGGATGGCAATTGCCCCACCCCCGCCTGACAAGCTTCAGAAAACCATGAAAATTCTGGCAAATGCTAGGAAAAATCAAGAATATTCGGGCATACTTATCAGAGAAGAAGTTAATTTAGGTTATTTCGTTACAATCTTCCATAAAAATTTGGGCAACCTTTCAACGCCCCCTCCCCTGGAAAGCATCAGCCTCGTACGCCTATGTGCTTGACGTGTAACTGCAGTGATAACCAATTCATGCTGTGGTAAAAGTAAATTTTGCAGTGATAAAATGTAAAATGTTATCACTGCAAAATTCTATTTTTTTTTTGTTCGAAAGTCAAGGAGTGAGGCGCCAAGTTTTATGGCAGTTTTCTCTCGTTTTGTCAAGTTTTTAGATACTTTTTCAGCGTAGTCAAATCAATTATTATCCTAGTTATTAGTATAGATAGTTTTTTCTTCATCTGACGCGTTTTCGTGGGATCTTTTTAATCATTTTGACGGCGCGGGCCGGTGGAAATATCATGGAAAACATCGAAGCAAACTCACGTAAGCAAACTTTTTTTGCGAAATAATTTGTTATAAAGTTATTTTACCATTTTTGTGGACCCCAGTTTGATTTTTTAAAACACGTGCATCAATTTAAATCTAATATCCGGTTTGAAATCGGCCAATTTCCGGCGAAAATATTTACGTTTTCTGCAATGCGTTTGTTCAAAGGTCGCCGTGATTTCACCGCCATTCTTGTTCTGTTTTGAAACTGTTTACATCGCAATTTGTTTTACAAAAAATGGCAACATTGAAATCATGACATAGCAAATATAAAAGGAAATTTTAGCTGGTGTGATAAGATGAAATGTCTCATCGATTGTTTGGTTTGTTTTCGTTGTTTACATGCAGACATCCACAACAACAAGGGAAATTTGAAACCGCAGTCGAAGAGGCAAGCTAAACAGCGTACAACGTTATACAATACTCATACTATATTATTTGTCAATTTGTTATATTTGACAAAATTTGCTATATTATGTTGGAGCCGGCCAGGTTATAGCCCAGCTCCAAATATTGTTCTCAACAATCAGGAATATCTGGATTGAGTTGACAAACTTGTGTTGTATTAGGTAAGAAAAAGAGTAAATAGTCTGCTTTTAGTGCTTAATTTAGATGAAGAAAATGGAAAACTGTCCCAGCCAAGGTGCCATCCAGGTCAGATAATCAGTCTGGATCTTGTAAACAGCCTCTAAGGAGGTTGTTTGTAGGAAGTATTTCTTGATACTGCATCAAGAATTTAGTAACTATAGTATCAACATAATTACACATGAATCCTAAGCCTACCTCCAAATGCAGCCCATTTTTAGGCCTGTTTATACTGTGCTCAATTTTGGTACCCTTAACATGTTTACTATGCATGGACTACCTATATTCATACAGGACGAGCACATGCAAATAAATTTGGTACAGGACAACAGGTACCAATTTTATCTGCGCCATAGCAAAAATTGAGCATAGTGTACAACAGTTAGTTTAGATAAAGGGTCAGTGTGCAATAGCCAGTTTTCTGTCATGAATAAGTCAGTACAGTACATGTAAAGCTGTCCATAAGCCTGCAATAATGCAGGGGGAAGGCTGTGGCTGGACCCATTGACCTGCAATTTGTCCTAATGTGCTCCGTCTTGTTAATTTACTCTGTCTGATACCAAACAAATTTACACATCTTTTCATGCTTCATATACTAACTCGTCAGTAAGTCCTAAAGTCTCCTGTAATATATACTTTACAAAAATAGTGTTAATTGAATCGAATGTAATCTAGTAGATGGTTAAGCCAATATATACCTGGTAACCCATCAGATATGGCTACCCTAAGGGCATCCCATATTTGGCCTAACACTAGATTATTCTTGCTGTCTTAATGCCAATTAAAGCTAAAACATGTAACATGTAATTAAAGCTAAAACATGTAAACATATGATTTTATCAATTCCTATTTTTCCAGCTTTTGCTCTGGACGATACAGTCTATAGAAAGACAGCTGCTATGCAAAAACGGTACAGGACAAATGTTGTGGGGCTCCAAGAGGATAAACTAAAAGCAAACCATCTGAGTGAGACTTGACAATTAACAATTATTGACGTTTAGATACTCAATATTTATTTCTGGCCATAAATAATATAATTATATAATATTAGAAAATTTTAAATAAGTATAGGTTATACAGTTATAGTTATAAGTACCGTATGTGTAAGTATACTCTGGGGCCGGTTGTTCAAAGCTGGACTAGTGATAACCTTGAGTTAAAATTTAACCTGCTGTTTTAGTTTGTGTATTTCTGCATGTCTGTTTATTTCAAAACGTCAGGGAAAAAAACTCCTATCGATCCAGCTAGACAAGATCTCTGAAGAAATATTTCCAAATTTATAGACAAGCTGTCAGGAAGCTTGCTTTGAATTAAGCTATAGGGTTAAGCTAAATTACCTAATCCAGCTTTCAACAACTGGCCCCTGGTGAATGGTTGATTTTATGGTAGAAATAAATCTCACTTGGTGGTATAGTTATGTTACATATCTGCTTGGTAGATAATATACAGACAATTTTATCTGTAGGGAAACTATACTGTCACATAACTGTGACGGATATGTTATTGGGTCAAATTCCTATATGTTGCAGATATGTGGCAGATGTCTGTCACATAACTGTGACAGGTGTCTGTCACATAGAACTTTACTGTGACAGATATCTGCCACATAACTGTGACAGATATGTCATGGGGCCAAATTCCTATATGTCGCAGATATGTGACAAATACTTTCTTACACATATTTTGCAGATATTTTACAAAACTGTGACATATATCTGCCACATATCTGTCAGTTTGGTAAGGGTATGCACCTAATGCACGGTTTATACAGTTGAAATATAAAGAGCATTGTAATCCTCGGGATTTTGATGTAGATTTCGGCTTCAAATTTTCCTTGTCGTTGATGTCTGCATAAAAAATAACGAAAAGAAAGCAAATTGACAAATAATGTTGTATGAGTATTGTATAAAAGTATTGTGAAATGAATCTCGGGTAGGTTGTTTAGCTTGCCTCTTCAACTTCGGTTTCAAATTCCCCTTGTTGTTGTTGTTGTTGTGAATCAGTCGATGTCTGCATGCAAACAACGAAAAGAAACCAAACAATCCATGAGACATTTTCATCTTATCACACCAGCTAAAATTTCCTTTTATATTTGTTATGTCATGATTTAAATATTGCCATTTTTTGTAAAACAAATTGCGATGTAAACAGTTTCAAAACAGAACAAGAATGGCGGCGACCTTTTTACAAACGCATTGCAGAAAACGTAAATATTTTCGCCGGAAATTGGCCGATTTCAAACCGGATATTAGATTTAAATTGATGCACGTGTTTCAAAAACTAACAAATTATTTCGCAAAAAAATGTTTGCTTACCTGAGTTTGCTTCGATGTTTTCCATGATATTTCCACCGGCCCGCGCCGTCAAATTGATTAAAAAGATCCCACGAAAACGCGTCAGATAAAGAAAAAACTATCTATACTAATAACTAGGATAATAATTGATTTGACTACGCTGAAAAAGTATCTAAAAACTTGATAAAACGCGAGAAAACTGCCATAAAACTTGGTGCCTCACTCTTTGACTTTCGAACAAAACAAAAAAATAGAATTTTGTGTTTTGCATAATAAGCCTCGTTTTCATGTTATGCGAAGGCGCGGTTACTAAGTTTCGCAATTGGTCTATATGCCAATACGAAAATATTTATTTTCTGGAAGAAATATTTCTTTTCTGCAACCCGTGCAGTATGCCCTCGGATGCCCCTAACCACAGTGTTAGAAGGTGGAATCACTATAGCGGCCCCAAGTCAAATCATAAAGTTTATGAATTCGGCTAAACTTTGCACAAAAACGTGCAGTTATAAGTTATAGAATGTCACCATACTATTATGTAAATTTCTATAGCTTTTTCAAATCAAGACCGAAACATGTAGGCAACAAATATTATATTATTATACACTCAAGCGCACTAAACCAATCAGTAATCGTTGAGAGGGTTACGTGCCGATCCAATATTTTACGATATCGGACAGGAACCTATTGGACAGTTGCGAATCGTGTTTTTTTTCATGATTTTTCAACCCTTTTCAGAAGTCTTGTCAATTTCAAACATACGACTAGAGATATGACAGACTAAAGCCGGTTTTCCACTTCAAGCGTACCGTACCGAAACGTATTAAAAACGTTTCTAAATTTCAAAATTTCGTGAAGCTGATTGGTTAGTATTTCCGTAGTACGTCAAAAAGTTGACTTGCGACGAACTTTTTATTTTGATACGCGAATATACACCCGGAAGTATACGTGGATTTATTAACCTCTTTTCAATCTGCGCATGCTCATCAGTACGTTTCGCTACGATACGGGCGAAGTGGAAAACCGGCTTAATGAAAAGAATTTCGGAG